CTTGGATGGGTGGCCCACACGATTCACGGTAAGCTTGCATTTCGACGACCTTCCGGACTACCAAGGGAGGGGCACACACAACGCCTACATCGATGCGTGCACCGAGATGGCAGAAGGCTTCGTTCAGAACATGGATGAGCGGCTGGGCAACCTCGAGCAACTCTCGGGATGCCGTCACCTCTCGGCAGACACGTGGCCAGAAAAGTGGGAGCGCACTACCCGGAATGAGCAGTGCTTGAAGTAGTTTCACTCCCTCGTTAAGCTCTACCGTGCGGAGGATAACAACGAGATTCTGCCAGGTGCTTCACCAGGAAGTACCACAGCTGGATGTTCTTTGCTCTGCCCTCCAGTCGAGGCTCCACACACAGGAGGATCATGGCCCTGTTGTCAGCATACAGGACCGGGGCAGAGCTAGGCCGCTCACCTAAGTTGGTGAGCAAGAAAGTCAGCCAGCGGAGCTCCTGTGTCGCCATGCCCCCAGCGTAGATCTCAGCCTTACAGCTAGACTGGGGAACAGACGACGAGCGGGTGGACCTCTACAAGATGGCGCATGCACCAAGGCTAAAGCAGTAGCCCTGAGAGGACCTGAGCATCTCAGCGTCGTCCGCCCATGAAGCGTCTCGTCGCCACAAAGCGAGCCAGGATGCTGAGAGGGTATGCGAGATCTGCGAGACGAGTGCAAGTCATCAGGTACATGAGGCAACCCACCAACTCTGCATAAGGACCACTCAGCTTCACAGACTCCTCAGGGACTGGATCCGAGAGCCTATGATCTACTCGCAGAGAAGTGGGCTGTGCGGAGGAGAACTGAAGACCGAACCTGTGAAGGGCCTGGCGCACCAAGTGTGACTGTGTGAGAGTGATGGTGGGCGCTGCTCTGTCCCAAAAGATCTGTAGGCCAAGGTAGCGATGCAACTCTTCTAGGTCAGTGCAGGTGTGTCTCCTCAGCAGCTCAGCCTTCACGGAGGCCAGTGCGTCTCTGTCTGCAGTAGCGCAGACCAGGTCGTCTACATGAACAAGGATGTAGAATGGGGTATGGCCTGAACGAACGAAGAGCAAAGGGTCTGCAGACGTCGGGAAGAAGTGCTGGTTAGCTAACGTAGCACGCAGCGCGTCGCGTCACTCACAGGGCACCTGCCGCAGGCTGTAAACCGGGTTGCAGAGGAGCCACTCGGTCCCAGGGCCGAAGGTGCTGGTAAAGCCTGGCGGGCAGCGCAGGTAGACCTGCTCGTGCAGACTGCCCTGGAGAAACGTTGTGGAGAAGTCGAGGGAGTGCAGCTCGTCTGCAGTTGTTGCTAGTAGCGCTGTAGCTAGTCTCAAGGGCGCATAAGTGAGTGGCAAGAGCAGCGACAGTGGGGAAGGATGCAAAATCAGGGAATAGCCTAGGGAGGATCAGACGGCCGACAGAGTTGGAGGAGGGAGTGGAATAGCGCGCAACAACTGCATCCAAGTACTCCCTCGCATTCACTACAGCTATAAAGCGGGGACGCTCAGTCAGGGGGAGGGCGTGACTGATAGCAAGATGCGCTACGGCGTCGCGCGACTCCCAGATAGCGCGTGCAAGCTCAACAGCGGGAAATGCCTCATGCTCAGCAGTTATGGGAGTGTCAGGAAGGGCAGCAGGCGTGGCGAGGCAGGGGAGCTTACCGTTGACATGGACGGCCAAGGAGTAGCCGTCCTGGCGCTGACCTGTCAACTGACGGCAAAGGTCGACGAGCCACGCCTCAAAATCAATTGCCCGACCCTCCGCGTCTAGGCGGAGCACCGCGTCGGCCATCACCACGGCTACGACAGCACGGCGACATGGCGACACGGCCGCACGGCGGCACGGTGACATTGCCGCAGGGCGGCATGACAGCACGACGGCACAGCGGCAAGGCGGCACAGCGGCACGACGAGCTGGGATGGCGCGGCTCGGCCAGCAGAGACTGGCAGCGCGGCGGTGGTGCACAGGGGCGGTAGGAGCTGGGGCCGACGGTAGTTGGGGCAGGCTCAAACTGGGGCCGGCAGGAGCTGGAGCCGGCCCGAACTGGGGCCGGCTCGAATTGGGGCAGGCGAGCTGGGGCCAGTGAGCGAGAGGGCGGCTAGTGAGAGCGGGCGGGCGAGTGAGCACCGTCGAGCAGGGGCCGGCGAGCTAGGGCCAGCGCACGGCGAGCGAAGGGCCAGCGGCGAGCTAGGAGCAAGCAGCGAGCGTGGGGCCAGCGGGCGAGTGTGGGGCCAGCGGCGAGCATGGGGCCAGTGGCGAGCGTGGGGCCAGCAGCGAGCGTGGGCCAGCGGGCGAGCGTGGGGCCAGTGGCGAGCGTGGGGCAATGGCGAGCAGCTAGCGACGGGGGGGGGGAACAGCAGTTGGCGGCTAGTAACGGGGGCCAGCGGCGGGCAGCTAGCGACGGGGGCCAGCGGCGGGCGGCTAGCGCGGCGGGCCAGCGACGGGCGGCTAGCGACGGGGTCAGCGGCGGGCGGCTGGCGACGGGGGCCAGCGGCGGGCAGCTAGCGACGAGGGCCAGCGACGGGCGGCTAGCGGCGGGCGACTAGCGACGGGCGGCTAGCTACGGGCGGCTAGCAATGGGCGGCTAGCAACGGGCGGCGGGGCAGCGGCGGGCTAGGAGCCGCACAGCCAGGCCTGTCGTTATCAGGGTATTTTACCCTGATTCCCTGATTTCACAGGGTATTTTTTTGGCCAACCCTTAATTTTCAGGGTTGGGCTTTTTTGAACCCTAACCTCTTCAGGGTTGTATGTCTGTGAACACTGAGAATTTCAGGGTTTGCGTTATCCCAGCACTGAGTTTTCAGGGAGTAACGCATACGAACCCTGAGTGCGACATCCATGTGGCTCAAAATGCGGAAATTTAGGCGAAGTCCCCAATCTCCAGAGACATTCCCCCCCACATGCAACAACTTACAAAAATTGGTGAAGTCCTCAAACATTCCCTCACACACCAAGCAACCCACAAAAATCGGCTAAGTCATGTGTCGTACAGACATCCCCCCTACACACTAACAACAACCCACAAAAATTAGCTAAGTCTATGAAAATGTAACGGTCAAGATCGATTGCGATCGTTTCGACATACTTAAACCGTTAGATGGTCACATTGATCAACGTCCAAGATCTCCCAGCCGGGGTGCTGCTAGGGCGCGGATTTTCTCCGACCGCCCTATTACCCAGCTTCCCCCCTCCAATCCACTTCGATTCCTCCCTCCCCTCCATTTTCGCTCCCCCCACTCCCCCTCCGTTTCGTTTCCCCCCTCCCCCTCCATTTCGATTCCCCCATCTCCCCTCCGTTTCGCCCCTCGAATCTTGGTTTTGATTCCCTCCCCCTTTCTTCCTTGGTTTCGACTCCCCCTCCCCTCCATTTCGATCCCCCCTTCCCCTCCGTTTCGATCCCCCCTTCCCCTCCGTTTCGATCCCCCTTCCCCTCCGTTTCGATCCCCCCTTCCCCTCCGTTTCGATCCCCCCTTCCCCTCCGTTTCGATCCCCCCTTCCCCTCCGTTTCGATCCCCCCTTCCCCTCCGTTCCGATCCCCCCTTCCCCTCCGTTTCGATCCCCCCTTCCCCTCCGTTTCGATCCCCCCTTCCCCTCCGTTTCGCTTCTCCCATTCCTCGACTGTATTTCGAACTTCCCCCACCCCCCAACCAGGGCCCAAAATTGGTTTTAGGCCACTCTTTGAGATCAGAGTAGGAAAAAAAAAATGCCCTGACGGTCAGAGCTAAAAAAATTCTAAGTCTGATTTGGCAGGGTAAAAAAATTCGAAGTCTTTGCTTCAAGTGTAGAACTCTTTGCACCCTTTCTAGCCTTGGCCATTTAAGGAACATTTTACATGAATGAAGTGGGCTGCACTGAGGTGTGGAAAGAAGGGTGTAGCGGATTTGCGCGTGTTGGGGGAGATTGGGGGATGGGATGGGACGGAAAACGATTCTGGGGCGCGAGAGGGGAATCAGATTTACATGGGCGGCAGAGGGGCAGGAAAAAAACCATCTGCTCGTGATTGGTTGGGTGTCAGAAGGGCGTATACGACGTGACGTGTCTTGCTGTGGTGTGGAGGACTTAGCGAAAAAAAAAAGGTAGCGGGGGTGTGGTTGGGAGGCATGTCTCTTGTGGGGGACTTAGCCATTTCTGGGTTGCGAGGGGGTGAGGGAGCTATGACTCTGGCTACGACTTAGCCGAAATTGCTGGCTTGCATGGTGCGTGGGGTGGGAGGAATGACTCTGGCTGCCAGGGACTTCGTCGAAATTTTTGGTTGCAGGGTGTTTTGGGGGAAATGTTTCTGGCCGCCAAGGACTTAGTCGGAATCTCGGAGTTTCGATACCAGGGTAGTTTTCAGGACGCCCTGAAGGGTCAGGGTTCGGGGCCCCGCAACCCTAGTTTCGGCAGGGTAATATTTTCGTAACACTTTTTGGATCAGGGTAATAAATTTCGTAAGTCTGATTTTTAAGACCAAATGAAAAAATGCCCTGAAAAATCAGGGCAATCAGGGCATTTTACCCGGCTAATTTGAGCCCTGCCCCCAACCCCCACTTTTTCCCTCCCCGTTTCGCTTCCTCTCTTCCCCTATGTTTCCATCCTCCCCCTTCCCCTCCGTTTCGCTCTCCCCCTCCCCTCGGTTTGATTCCCTCCCCTTTTTCCCCCCATTTTTTATTCCCCCCTCGTGTTGAAGGCAACCCTGAACGCGCTCGGTGAACCCTGGGATTTTCAGGGTTCCAGATTTCTGAACCCTTACAAATCAGGGTAGGCAATTTTTGAAACCTGAGCCCTCAGGGTAAACGTTTTTTTTTATTCGACAGCTCAGGGGGAGTTTTTTTGAAACGTCAGGCCTGCGCACAGCGCGCTAAGGCTAGGGCTAGGGGCGAGAACTAGGGCTAGGGCGGAAGCGCGGGTGGGCGGGGAAGGCCTAACCTGTAGCATGACGAATTGTCTAGAATAGAAGGTACAGGGTAGTTTTGTGCTAGTGTTGTACTCTCTAAGAGCATTCAACTATCTAGCCTATAATAACATATGCATA